TACAACGTAACCTATACCAAAAAGTATTCATCAGTTTTGTAGTAAAAAAAAGTACACATTCTCCAATGAAATATTCTCAAATAAAAATCCATTTTCATTGCTTTTTATCTCATTTTCACTCCTTCACTAACATCACTCAGTCAACATTTTTTGCTTAGCCCCTCAAGTGAGCATTTACTCATAAAACTCTGAAAGTTGCTGTGCCAGTCGCTGTGCTTTCTGCATTTCATAAACACATGCATATACTCCTGATTGTCAAGAGGCACGTTTTTCAGTGCAGCTTAGCTACTGCCAAAGGTTGAGAGATTTATGCATAAATGCAATTTTAATAAAAAGACTGCTAATAAAATTCCTTGTTAGAAGATTTCTGCACAAACCCAAGCCATGGGATTTCCTCATACTTTTTAATTTGAAATAATCATCCCTCTTGTCAGGACAACACTACTGCCTCTCCTCTCTGTTCAGCTTTTCCCTCACTCATGCTGAAAAGCTAAAACTTCACTCCCCTGCCACCTTCCCCTTTGGGAAGCCTTGTTTCCAAAAGAGGCAAAGAGTGGCAGCCAACAGGTCAAATAACCTAAACACTTATTTGAGCTCACTAGGAAAGCAATTTTACTGCCAAATGCTTGCAGCTCAAATATTTGCAGAGCAAGTTTGTTTCTCTTTTCTGTAACTAGTGAAAAGGTTTGTTTGTGAATGTTTAAATATTCTAAACATTCTTTTCATAAGGCTATTTGCAGAGCTTGATATGGGTACACATTTTATGACACAGGTTAAGAAGTACTGCAACTACAAAGGATGCCACAGAAAATCCCCTGAATGGAAATTATGATTTCAAAACAAAGACTTTCATCTTACTTGTATGCATAGGACTGTCAAGTGAAGGCATCCTGGAAGTAAATCTAGGATTAACAGCTCTTAATGGGTATGTTTCTTAATAGAGAGGAAAAAAAAAAAAAAAAAGATTGTTTGTTCTTCTTTGTTAAAACTGTCTGGATGGTTTCAAAAGGCATGAGCAGGGTATCAGGGCAGCATTTCCTTAAATGGCTCCACCAATATTTCCTGTAAAACCTACAAGTGCCTTTGAACCATTTTAACTGATTCCCAAATTCATTAAGCAGGATTTCCCAGTCATAACACAACTGAGAAACACATACCATTAATACCTCTCTATAGAGCACAAAGGTGTTTACATAATTCGGAGAGGCCTTTTTTCATTTCTAAGCTTTCTACACTTACCCTTCTCCTGGCCTGGCAACTTCTGTGCATCACTTTCACAGCACACTTTGAAGAGACTTGCAGAATTATTTATACATTCTAAGTCATCTTGAGAAACTGGGTAAAGTCTTGTATCAATTTTAAGAGCCCCTCCATTTGTAAAATTTACAAGTGAGTGGAAATGGAAAATTAATCAAAAACTATGTTGAGTTATGATAAGAAATATCCTTGCTCTTGGACGGCACAAAGTTGTGAGCAAGATGCAGGATGACCAAAGTATCATTTTGCTTTGGAGGACGACCATGATAAGAACAAACCAGAATCACAACATGAGAGGTAGAAAAATGATGCAGCAACTGTCCCTACATGCTCCTGAGGTTAAAAATATAACCTAAGGTAGATTCTCTCTTCTATTTCTAAGTTTTGCTTCAGAATCCTCAAACTCAAATGTCTTATTGTTATTTCTTTTATTCTTCCTTCTGAATTCTCTCCAGTGACAACCCTATCAATTCTTCTTAAGAACAACCCTCTCCTTCCCTTCTGCACACACACAAAGACGCTCTTGAGACTCACTAATTTATGAATGATTTTATTTTTTTCAGCCACTACTATCATGAAGCTTTTAATATTTTTAATATCACTTAGAACAATTTTCCATAAAGCAACTTTCAAAGAAACCAGATATGAGGCTGAGGTCTTAATCTGCCTATTTAGCTGCCCATACATAGAATGTAACTTATAACAACTATTTTATAAAAATGGAAGATTATTAATTACCAGTTTAACAGCATGTTACTGAATTGATACTATCAAACTAACATTATCGCACTCTGCTTTTTAGGTCTTTATAATAAAATTAAGAGAATTTACATTTCCCAGGAATTAGGTTGAGCTAAGATTTTGCACCGGAGGGAAAAATATCACCAGAAAGACATTAAGTTGCATTCAACACCTTAGTTGTGTTGCCTCACAGCTCTTACCTGAGTAGATTTATCTTTCATGCATGACGGGTAGTGTACATGGGGATCGCGTGGCCACTGCCCTGTGAGGTAAGGTCCTGTTATTGTGTCCAAAGAAGAAGTTCGCCTTATGGTACCCGAAGTTCTGATTTGCTGTGATTTTGGCCTGTCCACTGCAGAAAAACAGAGCAAATAAATAAAAATCAGTAACAACATCAAAAAATTCCATCTAGATTTGATGCAAAACTTTAAAAGCCAGTTATGAAACAATTGCAAGACCTTATTGGACATCTCTGTGTAAATGCTAAACTGAAAAGCATGAATGCTCCTACAACAGAGAAGTCAGACAAAGGAAAAGAAACAGAAGTAAAACTTAAGACTTACAAACAACAATAATGTTGAATGTGCTCAAACCTGTAAATAACCAGGCTGCTTATGCAATATACTAAATTACTAACAAAAAAAAAAAACAAAAAAAAAACAAACAAAATAATCTAAATGCAGTGATAGTGCAATTAAAAAAGGCCAGATATATTGAAATATAGAATATATCAGAGTATTAACAGAAGATTAGTTTGTGTTTGTTTTAAAAAGTCAGCCTAGGGAACTTAAAGAATAGCAAACAACGAAATACAGCAAAAAAAAACACGGTTCTTGAGCAAATGCACTGGAAACTTGTGGATTTCACTGTCTGTTGTTGACAAGATCACAGTACAGGCTTTAACAAGCTGAGTATGTGACTGGGTATTTCTCCCTGGCATAGCTCAGGTCAAGACAGCTTTTATATTTGTCTTCACTCATCACAGTGTCTACAACCTTTGCCTCCTCCCTTTACTTCTTTCCGCATATACCTAGATCATTAAACATATTTTCTACATTTCATTTGGAAGACAGAAAGTCGAGTGATTCATGAGATTGCTCTTTCCCACATAAGAGATCTACCACATGCTTTGAATCATTTTACTGACTTTCTTTGTCCTTTAGGCTAAATTACTTCATACGTTCATTTTCCACACTTTACATAAATCGGCTTCAGCCCTGCATTACAGCTACTTTCTATCCCGCTCATCTTTATTAAGAGAAGTTTGCAACTGAGATTACTTTCATAATAGTCACATCCTACGCATTGATGCAACCCACCAAAACCCTATGCGTGGTTCCAAACTAGAGAACAGACCTGCCAGTACACTTTTGAGGACAAAAAAGGCTGAGGACTCCCAAACGCAATTTTTTCTTTAGATATAGCATATATCTAAAGGATATAGCATCTATCTAAAGAGGACACTACTTCTCAACTGCATGTAGAGACTCGATGCAGCGCCATCCTTGTTCTCCTGATGTCTGTGTTCCTGCTCTGAGCCGGTTCTGGCAGCTGTCTAATCCCATGGTCATTCACTAAGGGAAAAAAAAAAAAAACCTACCAAGAAAAGCCATAATTACGCAGTTTCCACTGCCAGGGGCAGGGCAGGCACAACACAAGGTACAGAAACAAGCACATGGGAAAAGGAGGAACAACAGGGGTGCAACAGTGGTGACCTAACTCAGGGACAGTTTAGACCCTCTTACCTTAGACCCTTAAAAATAAAGGAACAGGAATCCGTGAAATGACATTTTAAGAGATTTCTGTGAGGCAGCATTTGACAAACTGCCTCATACATCAATGCTCCTGGTCACTGCTGGCTCTCATCAGCTGCAACTGCTGTGGAACCACGAAGCAACTTCAGACCCTTTCCAAAAATTAATATTGTTCCCAAAATTCATGTATTTATGTTGCTTTTACATTTACCTTATTATAAGCCTGGGGTTTTGCTGCTCTCAGACCTACTACAGAACTTTGACTTCCCTCCAAACTTCTAGTACCAGTGGGATTTTGATGCTGCTATAACGATTTTTTTCCCACTCCCGATCATTTTCTCATGATGGGCACCTCATGCTCTCGTTTTCCTGCATAATTCAATAGTACCTTCAATAATTCTTGAACCTATCCAACAGATTTCAGCATTCAGAAAGACTTCAGCAATATTCAGAAATTGCTAAAAAGATAGATTTATTTTACCAAAGTTTCAGATTATACTGCCTCTGACAGCATTCAGAGTGCGTGAATGGATTTTATTGCTGGGGAAAAAAGTCAGAACAATTCTGTTTTCTTTTTCAGTGATGTGTGATGTATCTCACAAGGAGCTCAACTGTACAAGTAAGCTGAGCAACACAGCATTTAACCAACATAATGTTACAGGGAAAAAAGTTAGCTATAAACTACAAAAGCAAGACTTATGCTAGCAGGAAGGCAAAACACCTCATGCATTATTTAAATATGCCACAAGTTCTCTGAATGATATGTATTTGAGGGCTGTTAGAGATTACGAGTTACAAAATGATTTTACAGGAAAGGACTCAGAGGCCCACCTGAATGCTACAGCTGGTAGAATTCAGAGGGATCCCACCTGTCAACAGGAACCAGCTAAAATACATGAAATTATGGGGTTGCACTGGCAGCCAAAAGAAATCTAGTTACACCACGCAGACTGATGGAAAGAGGTTTCAATTCCTTTACTAGGAAAATATAATTCAGTGGAAGACTGACATAACAGTTCTAAAAAAGGGCATGGGGCACCAATAAAACCATCTGCTTCAGCCTAAAGATGAAGAGCTCGCCTTCCCCCTAACATGGGGGCAGACAAGGCGGACACAGTCTCAATGCTGTGTTTGCAATCCCTTTTAGCTGAAATATCCCCTTCTGCCATGAAAGCAGGGAGCAGTCACCTGCAGCAGAGGCACAAGATTGACAGCTAGCACTGGTACCATCATAAAACTGCTTCAGCTGAACGCAGCAGAGCTCATCTGTCAACACCTTTCCTTCCCGTGTCTCTTCTCAGTAGTTAGCAGAGGCAGTTCAAATTTGGCCACTTGCGTCCTTGGGTGGATATATCCAGCTTTAAAAGACTAAAATTATCCTAAGAATTTCTCAGATGACACAGATTGCTCTAAGGCTGAGATAAGTGAAAAACGTGAAATAAAAATAAAATCCTTCTTCCTTAAAACTAGCAGTATTCAACTGTCACGTCCTTACTGCTGTCAGTTAACTGCTACACACTCCTGCCAGAAGACTATGAAATCTTCTTGCAGCAGTATCTTGATTTTCTTTTGAAAGTTCATCTATAACTTAAACGACTTTACACAAGACAGCTGAAACAGGACACCAAGAAATATCAGTGCAATACTCCAAAATATATGTGCTGGTTTCATGAAACTACTTCTTCAGTTCAATTATTGCTACTCCACAGAGCCTTCTAGGTCTCCTTTTCAGAACTACTGCTGAAATGAATCCTAAGCTCAAGTCTTCTTCAGTCCTAAAGAATTTCAGATTTTACCTAGGAAGTCAAAACTATTTTTGAAATAATTTTGTCCAAATCTACTCACAATGGGCAACAATTGAGACGTCTAACTCTCACGGATATCCTAGTTTGCTTGGCCTCATTTCAAAAACCCAACATTCAGAGTTCAGCTCCTGAGGCTGGTAGGAGACTAGAAATCACAGGTAGTTTGATAGAGTATCTATCAATTATTTCTGCAACATTCCTACTGGAGGCCACAATAAATTTATAGCAGTCTATGATACCAGTGACTCAGAAGTGGCTCTATGTTAATTCTTTCAAACATAATGAAGGAAGTGGAAATGCCTAACAGGAACGGAAACAGCAACCTAGCAATAATACGCCAAATATTATGGAATGGTGACCCCCAGCAAGTATGGGGAGCGATGGTCCAGCGCTGAGATCCTGGTTACCACAGCAGCAGCTGTGATGATTGCCAGATACATTCCTGGTCAAAATTCCCCTCTTCTTTTTTATCCTCTCCAAGCACGAAAACGGATACATCTACTAGTGCTTACTTGAGACAACAATTCATTGAGCAGCACAAAAGTACACTCTCAGACAGGAGAGGAAGCACAGTCTGTAAAAAGTGTCTGGAGTTTTTTTTTTTTTTTAATGTATTTACTGACACTGTGCTGATTCCTGAATGTTTGTTTGCTCGGTCTTATTAATTGGCCTTTCCTTGTCTAACCATGTAGATAGATTGGTAAATCCCTGCCTGGCTCTTCTCAAAGTTTGTCTCTGTGACTTTGGGATGGAAGAGATTAAAAAATAGAGATTTAGAGGCCGCTCAAAAAGCATTTCACTCTTCATTCTCAGAAAGACTGTGGTAACTCTCTGTTGTAACCAGAGCCAAACTCACCCAAGAAAAGGATTAATAGAGGGATTTAGGGTCCCTTGAAGTTTTACTCCACAGGATACATCTATTGGCTCAAAAGACACTTCCCACTTGCCAGCAACTGACAGATTTAATTCTGGCCCAACCTGCAAACGGGCTAAGCTACTGCATTAACAGCCCTGAGTAGCACAACACAACAAAGAACATACTGTTTGCCACATATTGTTCATACAAAATAATCCAAAATACAAATTTAAACAGCATTTAAATATATATATTATATATAAAAAATGAAAAGAAAGTGATTTTAGACTATTACAATCTAATTTAAAACTAAAGTAACTTACTTAGTTGATCAAAATAATGCAGAATACTAGATTTGGCAAACATGTATAAAGTCATATTGGCTTTTGCTACAGAAAGACATTCCTAACAGAATGTAACTGGAAGTCCTTTCAAGTTAGAAGCATCACCAAAAATATTGTATGTTCAGCTCTATAAAATGTCGTCTTCATTATGTGCACCACATTGTTGTTGATTCAGTTTTATCAGTTTCAGAAACTATTCTAAGATTTCTGTTTTTAGAAACTGAGACAGAAGATGGCCAAAAATGAAAGAGGATGAAATTCTGAAACATACTACTACTAAAAATAGACTGATACAATTCACTCCAATTTCTTCTTGATCATTTTTATCATTTAACTGACAAAAAAAGCCTGGCACAGGCAGCGTGATAACCTGACCAAGACGAGATGAAGGTGTCAGCCCCTAACAACCCCACTGGACAGCCAGCAAGCAGCCTATGAGCCTCCATCCCACACGTGCTGCCTGAAGCACCTCAACAGCCAGGGAATCCAGTTGATAAAGGAGTGGGCACACGTGAGAAAGGGGAGTTGGGGTAGACGTGCAGGAGAGAGGGCCTCAGATGCCCGGGGCTGTGAATGGCAGACTTGCTAC